TGCTCATGGCCTTCCCCTGGGCATCCAGAGCAGACATCCTGCAAAGCTCAGCTCACCTGTTTCCCAGCCAAAGCATTCAGCATGCTCCTCTAGTTTTTGAAACACCGTTGATAAATTCCTCTTACATTGCTTCCCAGGCTGCGCCTCAGCCACAGGGATGTAAGATCCTGACATGTTTGTGTCTTTGAGGAAGGGAAGAAGTAGAGAAGAAACAAAGAAAACATCTCTCCCTTCTTTCATTTAAACTAGAGGAGAAAGGATTGGCCAGCCAGCAAAAAGCAGATGAGCAGGATTATAATGAGGGAAAACAAGAGGCTAGTCGAGCCCACAAGCCCCCACTAGACAGACACTTCAGCCTCCTGAGCCTCAAGCTCCCCTGGACAGGCAGGAGGAGTCTCTGCCTTCTGGGATGTGCTAGGTAAAAAAATCAATAGAGGACTCTCCTCAGCCGACAATTTCCCCAAGGTGTTACTCGGTTTATTAGCGGGGTCTCCTGAACTGCTGGAGTTCCCCCAGGAACCAGAGACCTCATTAGTAAACACGTGTTGAGTGGCCACGGCATGTGCTTCCCTGCCAGTGCCGGCAGTATAAAATGAGCTTAGATATCGTGTCTTCCCTTGGGGAGAAGGCAAACCTTCTATCAAGGACACAGGGGCCCTTATGCTGTGTGCTATGAGGATGTCCTAACGGAGTCGGTGACGGTTGCAGCAGAAGCACAGAGGAGAGAGTGCCCAGCTCAGGTCTCTAGAGGGGAGGATGCAGGGAGCCATTACCTGACTTCTGCAAAAGTGATCAGATAAAAGGAAGGAGAGAGGAACTTAGGAGTGTGAGGGCCATTCCAAGTGTTTCAACAGAGTGTGCAAAGGCACCTGGAATAGTATGGGATAGGGCAGGGAGATGGCAGGAAGATCTCTGGGAAGGTGAGTAAGCCAGCTTGGGACACTGCCTGCATGACTTGGTAAAGAACTTGAAGTTTATGGTACAGGCAGGCAACGGGCCCCACAAAAGGTATTTTTGGAAGGTTATTCTCTGAAAGCAGAAAGATCCATCAGAAGGGTTTGGGTTAGGGCAGTAGCAGAGGGGATGCAAGGAGGGAATGACTTAAAGGGATGTTTATGAGTTGGAATTGACAAGATATGGTGAACAAATACACATAAAGAGTGAAGGAGAAGGAAGAGGCAAGGGTGATCCAAGTTTTGGGCCAAGGCAACCTCTGCTTGCTTAGTGTCTAGTTTGTGCTGGGCACTGTGCTAGTCATCGTACGACACTATTTCACTTAGGTTTGCAACAGCTGTTGAGGTTGGTATCCTGTCCTCATTTCAGATGATGAGTCCAGGGTCTCCGGGGCCTTCCGGAGCTCCCCCAAGTTCACACAGCTACAAAGTAGTGGGAGGAGACTCTGAGTTCAGATTGTTCTTTTAACTATACCAGTTGAGGACATGTTGGGGTCTGAGATGCTGTGCAGACACAGACATGCAGGAGGCCACAGTGAGCATGCTTCCAATGCTCCTAGGGAGGACTGGCCTGCAGGTAGAGGGGTTAACATGCCAGGGCAGGAGATACTTAAGGCTGTGAATAGATGAGATTTCCACAGGAATGCTCCTAGGAAGAGAAGAGAACCCTGAGGAAGCTTCACGGAAGATGAATCCACAAAGGAACCTGAGAAGGAACATTCAGCGAGACAGGAGGAAAGTCAGGGAAGAATAGTTAGAAAACAGAAGAGGAGAGGACTTTAGAAAGACCAGAGAGACTGGGCACAGTGGCTCACACCTGTAATCCCAGCACTTTGGGAGGCCAAGGCAGGAGGATTGCTTGAGCTCAGGAGTTTGAGACTAGCCTCATCAACATAGCAAAACTGTTTCTACAAAAAAAAAAAAAAAAAATTAAAAATTAGCTGGGAGTAATGGCACGTGCCTGTGGTCCTAGCTACTTGGGAGGCTGAGGTGGGAGGATCATTTGAACCCAGGTGTTGAGGCTGCAGTGAGCCATATTTACATCACCACACTCTAGCCTGGGTGACAGAGGGAGACTCTGTCTCAAACAAACAAAAAAGACCAGAGAGGCCAACCTTGTCAAATATTACATGGATGTCAAGGATGATATCTGAGAAGTATCTGCTGCTTTGCTGGTTACACTTTTTATGCTGCCAACCTTCAGAATTCGGAATTGACTTTGGTTATCCCCTCCTCCTCCTCTCCCAGATAACTGTCCCTGAGACTGGATTTGACAGTGTTCAGCACAACCAGCTCCCACGTATGTTTGTGGGATTCTTCATTTAACATCTGTACATACACACACACCAGACCACAAACTCCCAGAGGGCAAGGATGACGTTTTGTTCATCACTAGTTCCCCGGCACCTGGCACCATGCCTGGCACAACATAAGCACTCAATAAATATAATTTATTCACCAATTCACTCACTAAATTGGCGAATGACTGTCTGAAGCCAGCACTCTACTCTGCCTCAATAGTTTCTAAGCACTGCTCTGTTTCCTCCCTGCTCTCAACAAAGTCAAGGGCGATGAGCACATGCTGTCTCTGGGCACCCGGTGATTAGTGGGCAGAGCTGCCGCAGCAGCGTTGCTGAAATGGTCTCAGAGGCTGCCTCTGACCTTGAGCCACCTTTCTTTGTGCTTGGCTAAGCACTGAGTCATTTACTTGTTTTTGCTGCCTTTCAAGTCTGGAGCAGTGGGTTTAGCACAAAGGAAGCCATGATGGTTGTTTTGTTTACAGGGAATCGACTTCCCTTAAATAATGATTCAATGGGTAGTCTGCACTGCATGGTGGCGTGGTGACAGGGCTGTGGCGGAACATGGCAGAAGGCTTCCAGAGTCAACACCAGGCTCTCTGAGCCTTTGAAAAAATGTTTTTCTTATAAACACTGGCCATGTAGCCCTAGGCAAATCATTCGTGTTGTCACTTAACATGTGCTATTTCTGGGCATCTTTCCTCACCTTAAAAATGTGATGATGGCCTCAGTTCCCCTCCAGTGCCACTGTGGGTAAGTCACTACTGCTGTAGAGGGTGGGGTTAGGGAGAGGTACCTATAAGCACAGATTTCTTCCCAGACAATGACAGCCTCCCAGAGCATTTGTCCCTGGAGGAGGGCTCCGTACTATCCTGCACGGGGCATCTTGGTCAGGATCCCTCATGTTCTGGTGTCACTGACTGGGAAGCTAAGACAGAGGTTTGGAGCACAGATTTCGGGGCTCTACAGATGTGGGTGCAGTTTCCTCCATTGGGTGCCTGACCAAGGGCAAGTCCCAGAATTGCCCTGAGCCTCGGTCTCCTCATCTGTACAATGGAAGCTTCCTTACCCAAAGGGGTCTCATGATGATTACAGGAGATAATATAGGGAAAGTGCTTAACGGAGGGCCTGGCACAGAATGAGAGCATGGTAAATGCTAGCTATTATAAAAAGAAATATTACTTATTACTTAGATCCATTCATCATGAATGTCCTCCCAAAATAAGGAGATGGTACAGACCCTGAAGATTTTTACAAAGCTTCTAGTTGTAGAGATGAGGCAACTGAGACATGGAGGGAGAGGAAGGACTGGCCCTAAGACCCACAGGCAGGAATATGGCCAGCAGCCAGGTGTCCCAACTCCTCTGTGGGCTGGATCCTGATGCTCCAATCCCCAGCTCCTACGAGGGCCCTGGCTGGGGAAGATTCCAACCTGCAGCACCCTCGGCTGTGGGAATCCTGATGTCTGTGTCACCAAGGAGCCTCCCCCAAACACTGCCCATCTGGAACATAAGTAGTACCCAGAGGGCTTCCAGTAGAGGGCTCTGTCCACAACAGGCACTCAGTAAAGCCCCAGGCGTGACTTGACCCAGGTCACATATTTGCTCTGGGCCTGCTTCCTTAAGTGGAACACAATGGTCTTTAAGAACCTTCTAGTTTTTATATGCCATGGTTTCAAGAACTGGGTTCAATTAACCATGTAGTGGCTAGAAATCTCAGTTAACTGGAATCTTTCCCAGAAATTCCCTCCCTGGGAGAAATAGACAGAGCTCAAGAAAGCTAATAACCATCCACTGTCCTTTGCAGTTCTTCCTGGTTTAGCAGGTGTTTGGGCTCATTTCATCCCCTTGGCTAAACAGACTGAGGCTCGGAGCCACCTGAGGTTTTCCCAACCAGGACCAGAGCTCAGAATGCAGGTGAGAGTCAGCATTGAGAACAGTGTTGTGTACAGGGCACAGGCTCCACAACAACCCACCACAGGAAGCACAAGCCAAGACACAAAGGTTTGGCCAAGAATGGAGCCCTGGATCAGGAGCCTGGAGGCCTGGGGTAAAGCCTGTGCTCTCCTCATCCCTGACTGGCTCAGCCAAGGGGCCTGTCAAATGAGGTGATTGGATAGCAGAAGCCACTCCCTGCTATATTCTCACAGCTCCTAACCCTCCCAGAGCACCCAGCACGTGGGACTGGGCCTATAGTCTCTGGGCCCTGCATCCCCAGAAGATACAGATAATGCCTTTGTTTATCCTCATGTCTTCCTAAGTCCCGCCACAGACCAAAGCAGAATAGGCTTTCCAGAAATGTTTAAGGGGAGGAAGAAAAGAGGAAGTGAGGGAGGTAGAAAGGAAGGAGGGAGGGAGACAGGTAGCCAGGCAGGTGGGCTGAAGTCCTCCTCTCAGCACTCACATCCTATGGTTCCACAAAGCTAAGTTCTAAGGCAGTTCACCAAGTGTCTCTTAGACACCGTCCCATTTATGGTGGAAACACCATAGGGAGAAGCAAAGGGAATTAATTTCAGGTGTGAAATGACATGTGAACCCCTCTCTGCCTAAGCCCGACTGACTGCCCCAAGCCCAGGCTTGGCTGTGAGAAGTCCCGTCTTCCCAGCAGAAGCCTCAGTGATGCTGGTGTCGGAGGCCACAACTCGCTTCTCTCTGCTAAGCTCACCACCTGACATGTCAGTGCTTTCCAGCCCAGAGCCTATGGTTCCGACTGAGGAACACGATACAGCAGGATTCTGCAGGATTCAGAGACATGAGAGGAAGAGGTCTTTATAAATAACTCCTGGTTTAAATGGAGCTGAAAATAGGGAGACAGAAGAGGAAGTCAATCGCTAAGCACTTATTGAGTCAATAACATTGGCTTAGAAGCCATAGTGCAAGTGGCTGGTTTGGTTTATTCCCTTCTCATCAAAAGAACTAACGTAGGATTGAACCTGGGGGCACCAAGACTGCGTGTGTGTCCGAGGATGTGTCTGAAAGGATGTGGTGCTTCTCAGGTGATGTCTCAATCAAGACATAACCCAGGCCTTGCGTTAGATCTCTCTGTGTGTCATGGAAGAACGTGTCGGGTGGTGTGGCTTGGCTGTTAAGTCCCTGGACCTCTTGAGATCACTTTCTTCACTGGAAGGTCTAGTCACTGGGTTGGCCTCTAAGCTCTGAGATTTAGATAGCAATTCATAGCTGAGTCCTCGATATAAAACTCAGGAACCAAAAGTGTGAATAAAATCTTGACTGTGCTCAAGCGTCCTGTGAAGTGTCCTGTCTCTGCCCTCGATTCCATTCTCTGTAGGGCCTTCCTTTAGCTGCAACAAGGGTCTGCAGTTTGTGCTCTCTCTCGGATGACAAAATTGGGTGGAAATGTGCTTTATTCACTTGCAGTCCCCAGGGCCCCTGATCTTGGGGTGTGGTCCAGCAGCATGCTAGCCGGGGCAGGTGGAGGCACTGGGCGGATGCACCGGTGGGGGCCAGGCCAGGAGGCTCAGCACAGAACTGATTCTGCCCCGGTTCCCAAACCTGCCTCCCCACCCCAGTATCCAAGCACAGAACTGAACTACGGAGGGAGAGACAGTCTGAACGCCAGGTCCCCACGCTGCCCGGTTCAGGACTCCCAGTTCAACCGGTAGGGACAGCAGGAGAGAATGCGCCACTTGCCGGGCAGCCTGGTGAGCCGCCATCAGCAGCAGCTGCAGGTGCCCGTGTGCACGCGGAGGATGCCTCGGCTGTGCAAGTGCAGGAAGTTGAAGATCTCGGAGGGCATGGCGTGGAAGCCGGGACGCGGCTTGACGTTGTCATAGTAGTGGTGAGTGATGTAGAGGCCCGAGGGGTTCATGGGGAAGGCCCAGAAGCCGAAGAGGTGCACCTCCTCACAGAGCTCCAGCGCCGCAGTGGCCAGAATGAGGCCAGTGCTGATGCGCTTGGCGCGCACGCCCAGGCTGAGCCAGTAGCGCGACACGTTGACCAGGTACTGTGGGTGGAAGTAGTAGACAGCCTGCGGCGACTCGAAGTCGTCCAGCACGTACTTGACGCGGATGGACACGTCGGTGTTGCGTGTGTTGTAGAAGGCGGGCAGCAGCACCGACGCGTTCTCGTACACCTGCAGCACGCGGTAGAACGGCCGCCGCCACTTCTCCAGCTTGTGGAACCTGCGCAGGGCGCGAGTGAGAGGTGAGCGCCCACTCCTCTGTGCCCCCACGCCCCTCGCTTCCCCACCCCTTGCACCCTGGGGCTTTACAAAGGACGGAAGGGACTTATAAGGCCACCTGCCTCCTGACACCTCACGCACCTGTGCAGATGAAGATGAGACCTCTCTCAGGGGCAGCTGAGTTTCTGTAAGTGGGTGCAGGAGAGGGCAGTTGCGATCCAAAGGGACAGATATCCAGGGTGTGGCTGCAGGGGGCAGGGCAATGCTGAACCCAAAAGGATGAGGGTGGCCCAAGGGAGGCTCATCAGGGAAGTGGTTGCTGGAGTGGAGGCTTGCTCTAGAGGCCTCACTCCATTCACCTGTACTGTCATCCTCAAGATCCCCAGGAACGAATCCCAAATGCGGCTGCCTGTCCTGGCTCAGAAGCTTCTTCTCCTGCAGCCTCCGTTTCTCTCTCACACACTAGTGTGTTGTTTTTAGACACAGGGTCTTGCTCTGTCATGCAGGCTGGAGTGCAGTGGTGCAATCATAGCTCATTGCAGCCTCGAAATCCTGGGCTCAAACAATCCCCCCACCTCAGCCTCCTGAGTAGCTGAGACTACATACAGGTGTGCATCACAATACTTGGCTATTTTTTTTAATTTTAATTTTTTGTAGAGACCAGGGACTTGCGATGTTGCCCAAGCTAGTCTCCAACTCCTGGCCGCAAGCCACACTCTGGCCTCAGCCTCCCAAAGCGCTGTGGTTATAGGCATGAGCCACCATGCCTGGCCCCATTTCTTTACATTAAGCAGCCTCCCATCTTGGGCCCTCTCTCTCGTCTCTGAGCACTCCTTCACTCGGTGACTTTTCTGTCTCTTCTCGCCCCTTAATAGCTGTTCCCTGGGCATCTGATCCAATTCAATGACCCCCTCCTCTCATCTCCCACTGTCCCCTTCTCTTACATGTCCTCTGACCTGGTTGGTGTGACTATGCCCAGGGCTAGGGTTTCACAATTCCCCTAAAACCATCCAGATGAACCCCATAGAGTTCCAGTGCCGTGGTGGCCAGAATGAGGCCAGTGCTGATGTGCTTGGTTCACACCCCCAGGCTGAGCCAGTAGCGCGACACACTGACCAGGTACTGCTGGTGGAAGTCGTAGACAGCTTGGGTGACTCAAAGTCATCCAGCACGTACTTGACACGGATGGACACATCGGTGTTGCGCGTGTTGTAGAAGGTGGGCAGCAGCATCGATGCATTCTCGTACACCTGCAGCATGCAGTTCATCTGTGAAAGTTCATCTGGAAGGTTTTAGGGGACGTGTTGAAACCCTAGCCCTGGGCATAGTCACACCAACCAAGTCAGAGGACATGTAAGAGGAGGGGACAGTGGGAGATGAGAGGAGGGGAGCCAGGAGGGGAGCTGAGATCTCAGTGTGAGCTTCTCCCCAGTACCACCTGGACACAGCCAGGTAGGGAGCTGCCTGCCCTGGTCACACCCTGGAAAGCTCTCCCACCCATCTCTAGGTGAAGGTGGTGTAGACCAGCACTGTCCAAAAGAAATAATGTAGGCCACATATGGAATTTAACCACATCCGAGTAAGCACATGTGAAAAAATAGAAATGGGTAAAGTTTTTATATTTTCTTTAACCCACTATTTCGAAAATACTATTACTTCAACATGTAATTAATATAACAAGTTAATTAGACGTTATCCTATTTTTGTATTAAGTCTTTGAAACCCAGTGTGTGTTTTACACTCACAGCCAGCACATCTCCATCTGGACTAGCCACACTTCCAGTGCCCAGTAGCTGCATGTGACTACTGGCTAACATTTTGGACAGTGCAGCTCTAGAAAGAGGGCCACTGACCTCTCTGTGATGATGCTGGGGTTCACAGTGACCACATCCGTCTTCACCCCCACGTCCATGGTATACTTCTCTGAGATGGGGGGCAGGTTGCACCTGCAGAAGAGAAGAGGCAGCCCAAGGTGGTCAGTCATTCAATAGGTCAGGCTGGGGAAGGCGCAAGGGGAGGGGAGGAATGGTGATCATGTGGGCAGAGGGATGCAACAGCAACCAGCTAGGCGGGTTCTCTGTGGCCAGGTGGTAAGACAGTCGTTCTTCTGCTCCTTATCAGGCACTGGGACAGCCAACAGGCCTTGCTGAAGTTCCAGACACATGGGGCAGATAAACCACCAGATGTAAAATGCAGTTACAAGCTTGGATAGTCCCTGGACCTCTGGAGGATGGGATTATGGCTCTCAGAGGACAGGTGGCAGGGGAGCATCTCCTTTTCTAGAGAGCCTAGGCTTCCCTGAGGAAGCAATGCTTGAGCTGAGGTCTGAAGGAGGAAGTGAGCAAAAGTCCTGTGGCAGGAGAAGGGCTAAATAAACATGGGATATATTCAAAGATGCATCTTAGAAATGCAACACATATTGCATGCAAAAGCAAGTCACTACCATTTGTAGAAAGCCCCATAGTAGGAAGAGTAATAGCCCCCAAAGGTGTCCACGTCCTAATCCCTGGAACCTGTGACTATGCAGCCTTATGTGGCAGAAGGGACTCTGCAGCTGCAATTAAGTTTAGGATCTTGAGATGGAGTCATTGCCCTGAGTTATCTGGGGGAGTCCAGTGTCATCACAAGTGTCTTTATAAGAGGTGATATGACAACCAGGGAGAAGAAGAAAATACGTGGCAACAGAATTGGAGTCAAAGAAAGAGACTGGAAGATACTCCACTGTGGGCTCTGCCATGAGCCAAGGAATACAAGGAGCTTCTAGGAGCTGAAAAAGGAAACAAATTCTCCCTGAGAGCCCCCAGAAGGGAATGCAGTTCTGCAGATACCTTGATTTTAGTCCAGTGAGACTTCTGACCTCCAAGACTGTAAGATAATAAAATCTGTGTTGTTTAAACCACTAATCTGGTAGTATTTTTTTATAGCAGCAATAGGAAACGAATACAGCCCCAAACAAACATAGTTTAATAATACATTGTTCAGGGGTACATCTACATATGACAAAACAATTTTTAACAATGAGAGAATGATTAAGTACTCAATTCAGGGTAGCGACACCTCTTGGGGGAAACAGAGGTAGAACGGGAAGGAGCACATCAGTTGATACAAAGGCTCGATACAAACATTCAACTTCTTAAATCAAGTGGTTGTTCTACAAATATTCATTTTATTGTTTTGCTTCATACTTAGGTGGTGCAAATATTCTTCACATCAAATACTACATAATGAATGGATGAATAATAAATTTTGAAATAAGCAGGTGTTAGCTGGGTGAACGTGGAACTCATGAGCATTCCAGACACAGGTCCTGTGCCAAGGTCCTGTGGTAGATGAGAACATGAAGCACCCAGGAGTGACTGTGGCCTGGTGACTGCAGCATAGGCAAGGTGGGAATGGTACAAGCTGAGGGCAGAGAGGGAAGAAGGGGCCAGACTATAAGGGATGGTGGGCCATGTGAAGAATGTGGCCCTTCGTCAAGGGAAAGCCATGGGTTTAAGGAATAACTGTGCAGAAGAACCCTCTATAACAGGACTATGACTTTCACCTACTTTATGATCCAACCACACCCCTGTCTATCAGACCACTATGAAAGGCAGGTTTTATATTATCGTTAAAGATTGAGTGGGGGAGTCGGGGGTGTCTACAGTCAATTGCCATTTTTTTTGAGCATCTGTGGCATGCCAGGAACTTTCATAGGATTATATGAGCCATCAATAACTTCGGGTGGCAGATATTAGGCTCCCTGTGTTGCAAATGAGAAACTAGGCATTCAGAGGGTCAAGGCAGGGTGGAGGACGGGCCTGACTGCAAGCCCAGGTCTCGTTCCCAGTACAATAGCATCCAGTGTGGACATGCCTAGAACAGGATGGAGTCTCAGGGCATCTTGGCATGCACATACAAGCACCCAGCAAGGCTTTGCTGCTGCCGCACTGCTCTGACGATGACGACGATGAGAACGGAAGGGCCCACAGCATTTCCAAAACTAGCAAACACAGCTGTGTGCTCTCACAGATCTTAACAGATCTTAGGTGGTGGGACAAGAGACTAGCCCCTTTGAGGGAGACGCTTACTGTCATATGATCGAGCTAGGGAAATGATGTGATATCACAGAAAGAATGCAAGACCAGAACTATATCCCATTTCTGACTATGACTAGCCCCATGACCCTAGCAAGGAATATCATCCCCTCCCAAAAAATTGTTTTTCATCTGTAAAATGAGAGGAATATTTTTAAATAACATTTTCATTATAATAAAACTTAGTATGTGTCCCGCGTTGTTTGAGGATTTTAAACATTAATTCATTTATTCCTCATACTGACCCCAACGGGTAGGTACTATTATCATCTTCATCTTTCATTTTAGGAGATAAAGGTGTAGTGGCTAAGTAACTTATGCAAAGTAACACAGCTTTTTCTAACTCAAACCAGGCTCCCCAGCTTCAGAGCCTGTGGACAGAACCACTATACGCTCCACTTCTTAGCCCTGAAAATCACTTCAGTCCATTCTTTCATTCACGCCTTCATTCCTTCATTGAAGACTCATTTTTCTGAGTAGTTATGTTGTGCCAATTATATCAGTTACTGTAAACAGAAGTTCTCTGTGTGTTTCCAATCTGCAAGAGTGAGACCACTCAGCGGGTCTCTGGTTATAGGGCTCGGTGTTAAAGGCCGCATGAGAGGTGGATACCAGGTTCCGTGGGAGCCCAGAAAAGAGTGCAAGTGGGTTTAGCCAGGGAAGGAGTGGGTGATTCTTGAGCTAAGCTTGGAAGGACAAGTGGCAGTTGGCAAAGCAGGATGCAGGGGCTGGGGAGACAGCATTCCAGCCAGAGGGAACAGGACCTGGAGGGCAGTTGCTGGCATTAACTGGGCTCTAATGGTGTGTCCAGTGCTGGAGGTACTAAGAGTTATACAATCATTATGTCATTTAATCCCAAAACTGATGGAGCTGCTATCCTTATCCCCATTTTGCAGATGAGGAAAACAAGGCCCAGAAGGATGACATGACATTCCTGAGGTCATATGCCTAGCAATGCTGGAGCCTGGATCAAAGTTCAGGGAGACCCCATAGACCTTGGCTTCTCCCCAAAAGACCATCTTGAAAGAGGCTTTCCCTGCCTCCCCTGGCAGGAATGTGGCTGGGCTAAGGATTCAGTGAGGGCCAGAGATTTCGGTGTTGGAGGAAGCTTAACCTTCAATGCTGGACTCGACTAGGCATCCACAGGGAGCACGTGGGCAGACTCCAGATCACAGAGAGAGGTGTGTCTCTCACGCTCCGCCTGTGACAGCAGGTGACGCAGGGTGTCCAAGTCTTCCTTCTTCTAGAGACAGAGGCTGGGTTGGACATCCAAGAACCCAAAATATGCAGGAGTCCCTTTATTTTAGGACCTCAAATCACACCAAACCTGCTCTACCCTCCCCAACCTGACACCTACTGAGTGGCCTGATGATTGTGGATCCATGCTTCCTGCGACCCCCCTGCAGACTCAACCGAAGTCTCTTTGCTTTAAGCTCTTATTTTCAACCCACCTTCTTCACCCAGGCTAAAGATATAAATGAAGATTCACTAAGAGATAAGAGTGGGGCTTTATGTAAGGAAGAAGTGCAAGGACCAGTCTCTGGCTTAGTTAAAGCCAATATTGGTGTCTGCCACAAGGGTGCCCTGGTTCCACCAGTGCTTCTGGAAGGGTAGCACCCACCCAAGAAGATGGCGCCCAGAGGACCTCCCAACACAGCTGCAAGCTCCTGAGTCCTCAGTGCCTTCAAATCTGTGATGCCCTTTGCTCTTAACATAGCTCCCATTGTGCAGATGTGGACACTGAGGACCTGGGAGTTTAACGACTTCCCCAAAGGGTTGGGGCTGGAGAGAAGAAGGAATATCCCAGACCTGAGGGTCTGCAGGGGTGGGGAGTGGGGATTACTTGCTTAAAGGGTAGCATTAGGGCACCGGGGAAGAATATGGAGGAGGAGGGCCACGGGATAGTGGCAAGGGCAGTGCCAGGGTTTCTTTTACCGGAAGACGAAGTCGGCGCTGTTGATCTCCCTCCCGCAGCGGCTGTTCTTCAGGATGCCTCCGTTGCCCACCACAGCACACTTCTTAAACTGGGATCGGTAGTAGGGCATGTCCTGGGGGAGGCAAAGGCAAAGCTGTCAGAGCCAAGCCACCCCCTGCCTCCACCTGCGACTCTCACCTCTGCAAGCACACCTACCCCTGTTAGCTCCTGGCCCCAAGAGGCAGCCTTGTGGGGAATGTGGGAGGAAAGCGGCTTTCCACTTTACAGATGGGAAGAGTGATCGAGAGTCTTGTTACTATTAGATGGCCCCAAAGGCCACTCCCATCCCTGATGCCCAGGGCCTGCTGGGCAGCTTTCCTCCTGGCACACAGCAACTGGCAGTCCTGCATGAAACGGGCCAGGCCTGTAGCCTGTGCTTCAGGTGGGACCAGCAGCCAGGCGGGGTCTCGTGGAGAATCACGCTGCCCTGGGACCATCAGGAATCAAGCTAAAATTAAGGGGGACTTCTGTGGGAGACTGTCCTTATTCATGGTCCATTTTCTCTGGATGGACAGGCCCAGTGAGCCAAGACAGGGAAAACAGGGGCATCTCACAGCCAGTGGGTGAGTAAACTGCACTATTAGACTTGTATGAGAGAGGAAAAAAAAAAAAAAAAAACCAGTCATTTTCAGAAAAATCATCAAAAGTTTATTATGTTCTATATGGGTGTTTCCTAAACTTCTGTAAGTTAAGAACTACCTGGGATACTTTCTGAAAATATAAGTTTCTGGGCTCCATCCCAGCACCACAGAATCAGAGTCTCACAGATAGGAGGCTGGGAAGCTGAATTTTTTACAAACACAAAGAGACACTTATATTTAGGGAAGTTCAGGAAATGTGATTCTATGTCACATTGCTTTAATTCAGGGACAAGCGAACTACATACAGCCCGTGGGCCACATCTGGCTTACCGTCTGTTTTTGTGTAACTTGCAAGCCAGGAATGGATTTTATATTTTTAAGTGGTTGGAAAAAACCCAAAGAAGAAACAATTTTGTGATACATGAAAACTATGTAAAATTCCAATTTTGGCATCTAATAAGATTGAAAGTGTTACTGGAACACAGCTACTCTCATTTGTTTATTCATGTCTGTGGCTGCTTTGTGCTGGAATGATAGAGGTGAGTAGCAGTGACAGAGAGACTATGAACTGCAAATCCTAAAACAGTTACTGCCTGGCGCGTTCTGGAGAATGTCTGGTGAGCCCTGCTGTCTGGCCCTGAGCTTCAGCAGTCCATACCCCGGCTCTCCTTGGATCTGTGTGTCATACTAAGTTGTGTTACACCCACTGGCATTACCTGCGTGAGATGCAAGTCACCTGCTGTCACCAGTCTCATGTTCCAGGCCTTGTAAGGCCCACCTTGTAACGGTGGCTCAATACCATCCTCCCTTAGGGCCACAGTGAGTGAGAACACATTTGACACTGCGCACCTTCAGCTCCTCCCCCACATCCCCAGAATGCATGAGTCTTACCTATATACTCTGGTACCAGTCACAGAATGCAGGGAACTCTGGGCTTTGTTTCACACTCAGCCAAGAAGCAAGGCAGCCAAGGCCTTCAGATTTCATCCAAAAAGACCTCCACACGCCCCCACTCAGAATTTCTATAAACTACATTCACTAAGTGCTGTCCCGGGCCCAGAGCTCTCCTGGATGTGGTTAGGAACACACCCAGGCAACCTTCCTCCTCTTCGGAGTCCATACGCCACCACACCTGGGTAATTGCCACAACTGGCTGAAAGTGCAGGTTCCAGCGCCCCTTCTCTGAGACTAGTGCAGTGAGTCTGCACCAACAGTCAGCCCAGGTGATTGCAGGTGCGCAGCATCAGTGATCTGAGCATTTCACGTCTGTGGCTCACTCACTGCGGTTCTCAATGGCTAAGGTCAGTGAATTAAACCATTCAGGTCTGTGGCTCACTCATTTTGTGGTCCTCCATGACCAGGGAGCCACCGTGCCAGCCCTGCACCGCCTACCTCCAGAATTCTTTTATGTGAAAGGAAAAAAATTAATATCTATCTTGATTAAGTCTCTGATATTTTAGATGTTCTGTTATAATCAGCCAAATCTATTCATAGTTCAAACCCCGGTGTTACAAATAAAAAGACTGAGGTTTTGAAAGACAAAATATCTGCCCATGGTCATCCAGGGAGCTGAACCTTTCAGAGTCTAGATCTGCACTGGGTGGTTCGTTCTTGTGCTCACAACCTCTGCATGTGTTTCTGCTCATGTGCCTACCTCAGGTGGGGGACAACTGTGTCGTCATTCTCTCCCATATCTGCAGGATATCCTCTGCAAGTAATGCAATACCCAGAATTTTCTGGTCACTTTCTCGCCAAAAGTCACTCAAATCATAGCCAGTTGGCATTCATCGTTCTCAGAACCCCCAAAGAAACCCAGAGGGTGGGCTACTGCACCTCGGACAACTGGTCAACCAGGACCAAGACGACTGAGTCCAGAGGACAGTGAGTGAGTCATGAAAAACCCCAGGGACATTGCCACGGAGGGCTACAGGGGCCGGCTCCCTCGCCTCACCCAGACCGCCCCTGCCCAAAGCAGCACCTTGGGAAACATGCGGAAAATCTCCTGGTTGATGTGATAGATGCCGCTGGTGTCCACCTCATACTTGAGCTTTGTCCCCAGGGGAGTGTTCTTCTGGGTGGTGAAGAGAAAGGCAGGGGCGTTGCAGCACCTGGACAGAGTGGACCTGCCAGGCAGGGAGACAGGCAGGAAAGACATGATGCAGGGCAGAGCACAGCCTCATGAAGAACACAGGGGTGGAGCCGAGGCCTCTCCTGCCCACCCATCTCCACGCTCACCCATCTCCACGCTCACCCCCACCGTGCATGGAGCCGAGGCCTCTCCTGCCCACTCATTCCCAGGCTCGCACCCACCCTGCACCTCTGCTCATGCTGTCCTCTCCCTTTTCAACGCCTCTCCCAAGGCCCCTGCCTTCTGCCACTCATTCAGGGCCCAGGCCAGGTTTCTTTCCATGAAGCCCCACCCAGCTGCCCCTGTCTGCACTGACGGAACTCCTCCATGGAGCCCAAGTCCTGGCCACTAAGAGAGGGTGAGGAGGAGCTTTCCGAAGAGCTCCAAGCCAGGCCTGGCACAGAAACTTGGGTTGCAGTCCTGGTGTCAAGAGGCCTGGATTCTCGCTTCTGCTCTGCCCCGACCAGTTGTGAGGCTACCGGAAGGTGTCTCTCTCTCTCTGGGCCCTACTTTCTTCATGCAGGCTTGGCTCTTCTACCTCTAATCCTCTGTAACTTGTGATTGCAGTTTGCCAAAGCCAGGAAGGTTTTATAATCTTTTTTTTTTTTTTT